CGGCCGCGCGCACAGCTGGACTCCCGCACACCTGGACGCCCGCTCACCTGGACGCCCGCACACCTGGACGCCCGCTCACCTGGACGCCCGCACACCTGGACGCCCGCTCACCTGGACGCCCGCACACCTGGACGCCCGCTCACCTGGACGCCCGCACACCTGGACGCCCGCTCACCTGGACGCCCGCACACCTGGACGCCCGCTCACCTGGACGCCCGCACACCTGGACGCCCGCTCACCTGGACGCCCGCACACCTGGACGCCCGCTCACCTGGACGCCCGCACACCTGGACGCCCGCTCACCTGGACGCCCGCACACCTGGACGCCCGCTCACCTGGACGCCCGCACACCTGGACGCCCGCTCACCTGGACGCCCGCACACCTGGACGCCCGCTCACCTGGACGCCCGCACACCTGGACGCCCGCTCACCTGGACGCCCGCACACCTGGACGCCCGCTCACCTGGACGCCCGCACACCTGGACGCCCGCTCACCTGGACGCCCGCACACCTGGACGCCCTCTCACCTGGCCGCCCGCTCACCTGGCCATCCGCACACCTGGACTCCCGCACACCTGGACTCCCTTACAGCTGCCCGCCCGCACAGCTGCCTTCCCGCACACCCGGACGCCCGCACACCTGGACGCGCGCACACCTGGCCTCCCGCACAGCTGGCCACGCAGCCAGACCCATGCAGATACCCGCAGGGGATCTTTCCGCAGACACAGCACAACCAACCCTAAATACCTGGGACACCCCACACAACCAACTCAACACACCTGGGGACGCCCTACACCAGAAACATTGTACACAGCTGGCACTCCTCCTGCTCAACATGGACTCCATGTTGGACCCAGACACAGCCGGGACACACCATATCAAACACGGACACTCACAAGCGACTCCACAAACTTGGGGACACACCACATCAGATGTCAGGCATGCCCACACATCCTCAAACCAGCCAAGCTCAGTGACACACCTGGCGAGGCATCCCACAGGACAGATGCACACATCACCAGGCCTCACACCTGAGTATACGCCCTCAGCACTGATAACACACTAGGTGAAGATAATCCTGTGGTCATACTGCCCACTTATTTACCAGTTCTCCCTTTTTAATAAAACTATGATCGTAGGAGACAACAGAAGGAATGACCTGTCCCCTGACCCCAGGACTAATTCCGAGCCCTCGAAATTAGAGTGAGAACCAAAAGCTGAAACGGAATTTTCCTCTAGAGAGTTTGTTCGTTTGGGGTTTAAGCAATGCTACTTTGGGAGCCCAGGTGACAGGAATGGCACAGACATGGAGAGAGGGCCACGTCTGCCCCTCCGAGAGACACAAATTTAAGTACATATCAGACCAGCAACAATTCCCCTTAATCGTTTCCTGCCCCTTCTACTTTCTCTTGGATGTGGCCTGGTTGAAATCTTTTCATAATCTGGTTTTTATCCAAACATTTCCGATAATGGTGATGTGGTTGTATTTGAGTGGAAGGTCAAATCCAGAAAAATCTGAACGATCAGATTCACAAGTCATTAGTTTTTATAGAGTTCTTTCTTGTCTTAGACAGTTTATGATTAAATGTATAAAAAAATCTTGTTTAGCATATATTTTTAACGTTAATATTTTAAAGAGTAGTAGTCTCA